TTTTAATAAATATTTTTAAAATAAAATAGTATTAGTAAAATCAAAGTGCTATAATAAAAATATGTATTATAACAAAATTAGCATGAATAAGCAATTGTATATATTGTATTATAATTGTTTCGTTATATTATTATTAAAATATTTAGAATCACAGAGCGTTATATATAAGAGATATCAAAAACACCAAATTTAAACCACATTTGCCTTCTCCTTTCTTCATTATGGTTTGTTATTATTTATAAATCACGCAAAAATGTGATATCACTAGACGGATTAATTTATGAACTATCACGTGTATCCCCGATGGCGTCGATGGTGATAAATTTCATCGCACGCATATGACAAATTTTCGAGGGGATGCGCCTATCCCGGTCGCGAACGAGAGATCGGCCGTCGATTAATTTTCGTGCGAACGTCGACGTTATATCGTCCGCTCGATTCACCGCGAGGTCACCGCGAGTAAAGGTCCCAGGGCATGAATAATCTGCGCATCGGGGGCTAGAATAATTTCACGTTGAATTCAAATCCGGGATCGATGTGAGGCCTACTCTCTCCCGCCGACGATCTAACCCAGTTTCGTCTACGAAAGCGTGTACAGGCCACGATATGTGGCTGCCACCGTAGAATAGAACCGCGCGAGTCGATAAAAACGCAATTTTTCTTGCTACTGTTTCGTTAGCGTTATATATCACCCGATCCACGAGGAGAGCGTGAAACGATAAACCGTGGAAGAAGCTGAACGAGAATCGTTTCACACCCCCGCCTCCGCGAACGTAAACACGATTCATCCGCGATTCAATCGATCTGCGATCGTGAGAGCAAATCAATTTCGATTGACCACAGCGACTTTCTTCCCTCAATCATTGAATAATATTACATAACTAAGGAATATATATATATATATATATATATATGCATATATAAATTATACATATTTTCCGACGTGGTCTACCAACGAGTATTACTTCGTCATTGCGGATTTACTGCGTCTTGCGCCTTTTATCGTCTCTCGAATAATTTGAATCTACCTGCTGTGTTTCACGTTTATATCGCGCGAAAAATCAGGAAACAAGTACCCCAATGAACCTCGTATAACGAGTAATTGTGAACCGCAAAATGGACCACGACACGCTCGCCTCACGGAGAGAAAACGGGCTCGCACCACGTGAGCTTTCACAGGACGACGTCGGCATAACTCTCATTGTGTTCACTCACCTCCCGCGTAACAAACCGCTGCAAAATCGCCCTTTACCAGGTCTCACGGGCAAGAACCACGCGCGAGATTAATGAGCGCATCGCGTGAAAGAGCGCCGCTCGGTATACAGTAGGGCTCGCATGCCGCCGTAGAAACGTGATCCCGACACGCGTACTCCTTCCCCGCCCTCCCCGCGGAGATTAATCGGGGGTGGCACCACCCCCTCCCCGTCAGTCTTTAATAGACGGGGCTGCTGGACGACGGCGGATGCGCACCGAGTGCATCGGCGTAGCGAGGAGTACACGCGGGGAACGCACTGCGAAAATCGAACGCGCGAAAAATTCGCGGTTGGCCGAAAGGGGTAGATTGCACACACGCACACACATATATACACACTCGCGCGCGGAACACTGCTCGGCGCGATTATATATGACAGATAGGCGGGCGGATTGCGTGCATACGTGCATGCGTGCGGACGCGCGCGCGCGCGCGCAAGGTGCGTGTCCGCCGCGTGATAAGAGCGCGTACAGATCAGCCCCGCGACCTTCGGCCGACGAAGGTTCGTCGAAGACTGGTCGGTCGAGAGGGTGGGAGACTCTTTTTCAAAGGCGGCGTTTTCTCGACGGTGGCGGCGAAGCTTCCGGATAGGAAGGTAACGGGCATGCGTGCCATGACGATCGGCACAACCGCGTCGACGGGGTGCCACAGGGTGTGCCTGCGAAAGCGAGAAACGCGTGATCCGGAAACTATAGCTCGCGGTCGCCTCGTTTTGAGCGCGCCGATCCCCGAGGACGACCGCGAGCGCGCGCGCGCGCGCGCGCGTTTTCCCTCACTCGGAATTTGCGGTTTGACGACGATGATGTAGATTAGACTGCCTGGGAGCTCCGATCCTATCTGTGTTCGCTCAGAGAACGTTAGAGATGCGCGTTTTGCGAGTCAAAAGGGGATCGTCGAGTCGAAAGAGGATCGTATTTCACAGCACAATTCATGCATCGATGGGAATTTCTCACAGAGATTTGCGAACTCGAAGATAAAATCTTTTATACACTAATATAGTAATAAAAATTCTTGATAGATATTAAAATTGATATTATTTCCGATCGATCTTTCTATTGAAATCGAGGTCAGGTAAATACAGAAGCCCTTTAAAATGTATTTCTCTTTATGCAACAACTGATACTCTTAAATTAAAGATATCGCGCTTATTGTTAGTTCGGTTACAAAATGTCGATTCGACCGCACTGCGGTAAAAGCGAAGTTACTGGATCACCTAATATATCGTGCGCTCACAGGTCATCCGCCTCATATCCTTCATCATGGATATACGATCTTTTTTCTGACAGCTGTCAAATGTCTTTCTATCTTTGGCGAAACTTATCTGATCGCGTTCAAACTTGCTATCTAAGTATATATACATCACTTCAAAACTTTTATATTCAAATCCCTAATGCCACTGAAGAATAAAAATGTCTATTAAATTTTAAACCCAGTCCAATCTCTCTCTTGGCAAACGCAAAATAAATGTTACTGCTTTTCCAAAATAATGACGTTATTTCGGAATTTTATTATCCGGCGATCAAAAATCTATCTATTAAAAGCATGCAGCGACAATGTTAATAAAAATGAAATATTCGACTCACCAACCCGCGATGCCGTTTGGTTGTATCTCCTGTAGAAATATACCAAGCTCGCCCTTATCCTTACTGCGAAGTCCGACTACGCTGAATCCCAAACTGGTTCCCTCTGGTTTGTACAACTAAAAAAAACAAAATTGTCGTTACATCAGTAGAAAATACTTGAAACATCTGTTGTCATATTTTTTTTTATATAAAAAGTGAACAAAGTAAAAAAAAAAATTGACAAAGTTAAAGAGAAAAGATTTTATAAAAATGTGTTTTATCAAAAAATATATTTTATTAATCTGTGAAAAATATATAAAAATTTACCTGTACTGTAAATATTTGTCGTCCTCTCGCAGCAGCCTCAATGACCTTCTTAAACTCCTTTGCATAAGTAGGAGTGGTTATAGGCGGCATTCCCATAACTTCTGAAGCAAGACTGGGACTAGTAACCTGTAATAAAGTAACGATCCCTCAATACATGAAAAAATACGCAGTTATTTATCTTTAATCTTTAAAGTGCAATGATAATGCAAAATCACCTGTGCACTCGTATCTTCACTGCTGCTATGCAGTAATGGAGCAACGGGAACTCTCTGATCTTCTAGCTCGCTGCTGTCCTGGTACAGATCTTGATACATGTTTGGTCCGAGTGGCTGTACCGGAGTACTTGGAACAGAGAGCTCCAGCTGTCCACTAATATTGATGTCAAAGTCACCAGGCAAGATAGATGGATGATGTGTCAATTGAGTGTTCAATTCGATCAAAGAATCCTGAATTGTAACTATGCTGCGAAATACAGGATCCTCTAATAGTGAAATCAACGACTTCAAGTCTTGGGACGTGTGCATTTGCAGTTTAGGATCGTCCTCCACACGTTCCTGTACTTGCTCCAGCAAGTGAAGCGCTGTGGATATATCTGCAATAAAGAATGTAACAGAATACCAATTTAAAAAAAAAAATTTGATAGAGACATAAATTCATTAAAATTTTTCAAATTTATTCAATTTATTCATTTATTCAAATTTTTACTTGATACATGAAAGATAGTAAAGAGAATAAGTGAGTAGATAGTTATGTTTGTATATTTACCAGTACTGAGCGGCATGGTGGCCTTCTTTGCTCTCTAGAGTGTACTCAAGTGTATATAAATTTTTCGCACACCCAACTGAAACATGAAAAAACAATATATTCCATATGAATAGGCGCAAAAGTATTCGATTTATATGTCAAACTCGTCCTACGTCAAACGTGTCACGCAACCGTCATATTCTTTTAACCTCAAAACGCTCGCGATACAAGAGTAGAAAATTGTTAATTCTACGACATTTTTCTTCGTCTAAACATCGTCCCAACGAACGATTGATTGTCATTAAGCATCAACATCGCCGTGAGTGTATCACAAATCAATATGAGGTGGCGTAAGAGGAGAAGAGATTATCTTCAGCGTTTTCCAATTCTTACCTCGATTCGCGTCTCGCGAAGAGAACGAACACTTTTTTCCGCAGTTTCACGCGATTACGAGCGATCTCGTTACAGTTCCCGAACGACGGGCAATTGCATCTTGGCGTCAGCTGACTTTACCAAATTACCGCGATATCGAGCACTTGACAGATTTCCCCACGTACGCAGAAAATACGGAGCGGTCACGCATTCGGCGACCACGTGATTAAGCGCGGCAATTTTCAAACGCTCACATAATCTATCACCCCTTTGATTACCACGTCACACGTAATTATTTAGGAAAAGAATA